TCTTCATCAAAAAATGCTATTCCCCCTTCCTTCCCCCATTCTGATCGACTAGCTTAGTATAGATTGAAAAGCCAAGTATTATAGATGAATGTTTGGTGATGCTTGTGCTCAGTAAAACACCACGTCATGAAAATTTGTTGTATCTTGACTTTGTCACAGTCGCATCACTTAATGAATAGAAATTTGTCTTGTCCTGGAGTGTAGCCTTAGCTCCTTTGGTTTTAGGCACATTGAAGTCATGTAGGCAGGGTTTGGGGGACTCGTTCTAAATAGATACAGTAACTCAAAATCAAGAATATTACGAGGCACAGCAACTATTGCGAACTATCCAGGCCTCTACAGTATTCAGTTGTGGGTGATCTTTCAACCCAAACCCTGCATATGTAAACCCTAAATCCTAAACCAAACCCTTGACCCCCAAACCTCTGAACCCCTAAACCTCTAGACCCTGAAACCCCTGACCCCTAAACCCTACACCCGAAACCAAAAGCGCTACAGAAAACCCCAAGTCGTAGTTTGCGCTCTGGCTCCGCGGATGCTGGCGGTTCGGCTCTGCTCTTGAAACCAGGCCTGGTGCAGCAAACTTTCAGCCCTGATGGGTTTTTCGGGGACCTTTAAGGGTGCCTTTAACGGGATCTATACGGGTTCCTTACAGATTTAGGGTGATGGGTTTTGCGGGGACTAGACCTAAGAGTAACCTAGGAATAAAAAGGGTGCCCTTTTTGGGTTAAAGGGGGTTATAGGGGAACCTTAACCCTAAAAAAGGGAATAAGGGCCTACTCTGGGTCCTAGGGGATCTTTAAGGGTGCCGTTAAAGGGATCTATAAGGGGTTCCTTACAGATTTAGGGTTTTATTTCTGTTGTTTTGCTGAACCCGCTTTACCTTCTGCCCGAGAGGTTAGTTGGATTTAGGGTTTTAGGGTTTTAGGGCTTTAGGGTTTAGGGCCTGATACACAAAACCCACAGCCCTGACGGTCCATGTACTCAAGAAGTGCTGACTCTGGCCTTAATGGAATCCCTCTGTAAGTACTCTCGGGCCCAAGTATGTACTACATGAGTACATGAAGACTTGGGGTACGGCAAAAGGGTTTCGGGCGTAGGGTCAAGGGCTGGGGTTTTAAGAGGTCGATCACGGGGTTACTGCCCTCAGGCGTTTCCACCCGGAACGGAGAAAAAGACGAGTGCGATCCGCCAACTGATGAGAAGCGAGCGATCGCTTCAGCGGTTCCATCTTCACGCCCTCGCTGCTGGCTGTTCCGGAGGCTCTGAACAATCGTTAAACCCGTGAAGCCCGATCTTGCAGGCCTGTGATGTGCTGCGGTCAAAATCGGCCATTCTGCGACCAGCCCGTTTGGACTCGGATGGTTAAGACCAAGAGCAGGCTCTGAGAACACAACGCTGGTCATAGTCTGTTTTCGAATACTCGCAAATGGAGCCCGTTGAAGGGGGGCTTATTTCGTCGCTAGACGAACCGCCAGCGTCGGGGGGTGGTGGAACTCCGTGGCTGCAGTATGACGCATCGCATTTTCGCGAGGAGCATTTAAAGCAGAGCTTCCGCCAAAGCATGTTTCGCTCGCGGCAAGTCCACCGCCCGCAAGTCCAATATGCATTGGTTGTAGCTGAGGCATCTGTTCTCAAGGAATACATATACCATCGAACGCGTTCCGCGTTATCGGCCAGCCATTCCTAGTGTAGGGCCTGGATATTAAACATATGGATTCCTTTAAGGGTTACTATAGGGGATCTACAAAGCTTTAGGGTTTAGGATTCTATACTATGGGGCCTTCATGTTTGGAGTAGGCTTTCTTTAAGAGTTCTAAAACATGGGTTCAAGCGAGTGTTAATCCATTCAATTGAGTCATGTGTTCAACCCAAAACTGTAAGCTCCAACGCCTGCACCCCGACACCCAAAGCCCTAACATGTTTGGGAGCGCTGGGCTGGATTCTGGAGGAATGGAAGTCGAACTCGTACGAGGGAATCGTGTGGAGAAGTTTGGATGCCTCTAGTTATCGCCCAGAATATCCAATCAGAACCCCTAAACCCTAAACCCAAAAACCCGATTAGACCCTTAATAAAGAACCCATATCCGTCTCCTACAGCCACTCTCCTCTTCTGGGAAATTAAGCCTGAACCTTCCCATTCGGAGACCCACCAGCGAAAACGCTAAGGGAACGAAAGTAGGGGTTTGGGGCCTACGGCCTGTGCCGGAGTCGCTGGAGGGGATGTTGCAACTTCCATGAACTCAAACAATATGGAAAGACGTCGGGAATGAAGGCTTTGCGCGTTTGGTGCTTATGGGGCTGAGTTTCTAGTGTGTGTGTATTGCATGAGGCTCAGGGTTTAGGGAGCAACCGACCTGCCAGCAGTCGAAGCAGTACCAGAGTGGCGACTCGTTTTCAAAGCCTCAGTTGCGATGTCGGCTTTCGGGTTCGTGCTGCATCAGTGTTTTTTTACTTAGGGTTTGGACTTTGAGGTCCATAACTCAGTCAGGGTTCAAGAAACCAGATGGCAGTACAGCATGTGGTAGGTTGAAGCAGCACTTGTAAGGGATTCTGTACGGGCGAAATGTTAGCATGCGGAAATTTGACAGTATCACTCAATCCACTTGCGGTCTCGCATGGCATACGAACAATACAACTATAAACAAACTGAGAAATAAAATGACATACGCCTTTGTATATGTGTAGGTGTGTATACATATACATATAACACTATGTTATATTATATATATATATAATATATATATATATATATATATATATATATATAACAAGCACATCGACAAGCAGGCGAATCCCAAAACACCGCACAAACCTAGGGCCCTAAACCCAAATTTTTATGTAAACCCTAAATCCTAGACTCCAAACCCCTAAACCCTAAAGCTCTAAACCCTAGCCCTAGACTCCAAGCCGCAAACCCAAACTCCTTGTAGTTCCGCGTTGCAGGATGCCTGGATTCCCATTCCTCCAACATAGGGTTGATGATATAAATCCTGCATAACCCAAACCCTAAACATAAAACCCTATCCATCATAACTCCCATAGTTTCGGGCCCTTAAGGAAAAGCAGGATTTGTATCATCAACCATAGAAGCCTAGGGCCTAAACACTTTAAATAGGGACCCAAAAAAGCACGTAAGCATAAGCACTTTATGGGGATATCCCTACCCTATTGGCATTCCTTTTAAGGGGGTTTATATGGGACATCCCTACCCTCATTTTTGCTTATGTGCTTTCTTGGTGCCCTATTAAGGCCGCTCAAGTGATTGAATATATACCTACGTATTAAGGCGCCTAGATTGAACTCTGGCAACCGTTGGTTTAGGGATTACAGTTGGGTTCTTGATAGGGAATCGAGGGAAAAGGGGACCTTATCATGGGGATCCATTCCTTACTCAGACCAACGGAGTGTAGGGACGTCTCAGGCTCGAGCTGCCCATAGCCACGGGAACACGATTCCCACCTCATTCTCCGAAGTGATGTGAAGGTTTCAGACAATAGGAGTATTCACTTAAAGGCCCAAAACTACTTCATGTAGGACCTTTAAACCCGTAACCCCAACTCCCAAAGAATACTGGAGAATAAAGATCCTTCAAATTTGGTGGCTCGTGGGGTCCTGGCGTTTGTTTAAAACTCGTGGCTCGTTTTGTCCAACATGCATGGAATCAGGATGCTTGGATATTCTTTTCGTTAAGCAATCCTTGCAATGTAAGGGCCATGGTATTTTTAATGGGGTGTTGGGGCAGATAATACTCACAAGCGTACTTCTGCTTTAGACGGACAACATAGATCAGGCCATTTCCAGTCGTATAGTAGTTTTCGGTGAAATCCTGAGATAAGGGGTTGTGGAGTGGCTCGGCGGTGTGTTAATATGGGGCCTTAATAATTAGAATAGGGTTTTGCGGCCCAGTATACTATAATTCTAAGAAGGAACCCCCAACATAGTATTGGTAATTATTAGTGCCCCTATATTACATAAATCAAAGTTCTGATGCCGTCATAAGGTGTTGTGAACAATACGGGTCCTAAGCAACACGAAGCAACCCTTTTAAATGGTTCAAGGATCCCAAACAAGTGAGGAACAACAATTCCATGCTCTTGACGGCTTGCAGGTTGGGGTGGTGGGCCGGCGAAGATGCTCTCAGCAAAAGTTGTTGACCCTTTTGACCCTGCACCCTAGCCTCAACAGGAACAGCGGTGTAGTGCGTGGCAAACATGCCCAGGAAAGAATAGACGGCAAACCCGCAACTCAAAACTATAACACCAACATCTTCGCGGTCACGCCTACCCTGAACAGTGAGGACCTGCAGATTTTCAAACCCTCAAAACAAGTCAAAACCCTGAACGCTGAAACTCTTGAACCCTGAGCCCTAAGACTCTGAACCTTACACCGTCCCTAGACCGCCAGCTACACTTTGATACAACCCGAAAAGCCCAGGATTCCAGACCACGGTATCGGTTTAGGGCGTTTAGGGTTTAGGGTTTAGGGACAGTTGCTGCGAGAGGCAAGAGTCGCACCATCGACTCTCGGGTGGCCTGGCTTCCTGTCGGAAACGTGCCAAAAACGATGGGTAATCTTGGCATGTTTAACATCCTTGTTATTACTGCTACGGTTGCTATTCCGTAGCTTTCCTTGACATAATTAGTTAAAGTATGATAAACCTCAAGTCCCTGATCTAATGTTGCGGTGCAAACATTTCGGCACCAAGGTCAGGGAGTGAGCTGCACATTGGGAGTTTCAGAACATAGGGGCTCTATACCGCGAAGGAACGTCTGCCGGATTGGAGGTGTTCTTCACACGTCTTGATCATATTGGATTTCGGCGATGGGTCGTACATGCATAATCATGCTGCTGTGGACGATTAAGGATAATGGCAATGGTCAAAGAAATGATCATCAATATGGCACTGTTAATGATACCGGCGATGATGGCGATGTTGCTCCTCCTGACGACAACGCTTCCAACAACGGTAGCCCCGCTTGTCTTGTCTTCAACACATTCTAGGCTGGGGCTTTGGACATGTATCGTGCGATTTGTTCCCACTCGTGGCAAGCTTTGGTCTTTGATCTGGGGGACAGCATCGTCGCACTGTGCGACATCTCCACATCACCCAGACCTCTTCGAGGGACCCTGGGCAGGAGCTAAATGCGTCGAGATCTTCGCTAAACAGAGCACTTCGCTCACAGCTTTGCTGTCAAGCCAATGCTCACGCCGGCGTGCAACAAAGCCGGGAGAACACCGTCTACAAATAGACAGTTCTAGCATGGTAAGACGTTAACGGATACGAGCAAAACAATGCCGTCTTTCGAGCAAGCGAGACATCTAATGTGCGATAGTATCCTATACGCTATAGGCAATACTATACTATACTGTACTATACTATACTCTCTCGGACGGCGTCATCATCTTGGAAGGTGGCCGTACACATGTCGTCGTTGCTCGCCTCCTCGGCACTGTTGGGATGTGCTTCTCCCAAACAGAACCGAAGACCTAACCCTAAACCCCAAGCAAAGAAACCTGCAAGAAGCCCGCCTCTGACTCTAGATCCTGGTTGCGGAAGTTCTGGAGGTCGGCAGACCTCACCGTCCAACGTGGCCTTGCGCGCGTGTTGTCTGCAACCTCCATGGATGCAGTCTGGGTTAGGGTTTAGGGTGTAGGGACCCGAAATGCCAGAACCCCAACAAAAAGTCCTACACCCCTGAACCAAAACGCCACTAGACCTGAACCTGCGCTGGGGCTCTTGGCTTCGGGGTAACCGGTAGTGGGGCTTCTATGCCCCTGCAAAAGCTTATTTGCCCTTCGCCCAGAACCCTTAGCCCTTGATTTTCGAGCCCCAAACCCTTACTCCCCAAATAAGCCACAGCAAGAAAGAGGTTAAACTTTCCGGTTCCTACTAAACTATAAGAACCCTAGAAGTTTATTTGGGGATCTACAAACCATTTTGGGGTTTAGGGTTTCGGGGTCTCGCCTTGGGTTTCAAACGGGTAACATATCCCCTTATGGTCCCATACATACACACACCCACGTATCTATATATACATATATATATATATACATATATATGCTCACCCCCCCCCCATGACAGACCGTCGTGGGGAAGGGGAAGGGTGGCGTGCGTCCCCAGGCAGGATCTGTCAACGGATAGGCGACAGACACTTCTCCCAAACTCAATTCCAAAATGTTCTTTTAGATGGTTTGCAATTTTTGGAAATTTCTTCACATGCATGCAGCGCTCCTAGTCCCAATCTTAATCTCAATTCTGCTCTTCGTACCACTATTACTGTTTGTAGATCTTAATTCTTGTATCAGTGTTAGCATTAGTATTAGTTTTGTGGTAGTATTGATATTAGGATGTTTAGTATGAGTAATAGTATTCGAATTAGTATTACTCTTAGTATTAGCATTAAGTATGTGTATTGATGTTAATAGTAGTAGTCGTCGTACTAGCAATAGTTGTCGCACAGCAGTAGTAGTGGTAGCATTAGTATTGGTATTTGTATTAGTATTAGAATGAGTATTAGTATTAGTGACTAGTATGAGTATCAGTATTAGTTTTAGTATTAAGTATGTGTACTAAGTAGTAGTAGTAGTAGTAGTAGTAGTAGTAGTAGTAGTCGTAGTAGTAGCAGTAGTAGTAGCAGCAGTAGTGGTGACATTAGTATTGGTATGAGTATGAGTATTAGAATTAGTAGCTGGTATTAGTACTAGTATTAGTGTTAGGATTAATATGTATTGTTCTTGGTTCTATTCTTAGTACTGCTGTCATTGTTTGTAGTAGTCCTAATCCTGGTATCAGTGTTCATATGAGTAATAGTTTTGTGGTAGTATTGATATTAGGATGGGTATTGCTTTAGTACTAGTATTGGTATTGGTATTTAGTATTAGTATTAGCATCAGTATTAGTATTAGTATTGAATAAAAGTATACATATCAATAATAGTAAATATGAACTCGTGATTATGTTCGTGCTGGTGTTAGTGCCAGTGTCGATGTCAATGTCAGTAATAGTACTCGTGTTAGTATTAGTATCAGTCTGAATGCTGGTTTTAGTATCTGTTTATTATTCACAGAAGTGCTGGTATTAGTATCAGTAATAGAAATAGTTTTGATATGTGAATATACTGATTGATTCGTACATTTTGAGCTTAATATAATAATACAGTAATGTATTCGAACAATAGTATATTTGCAGAGTTGAAGATTGCGCGAATATATTAGTACGTTGGTGCATGAGTACATTAGTATATTGGTGTATCATGATATTCGTATGTTAACGTAGTAGTATATTAGTATATTATTATAGTGGTCTATTACTACATTTACTATATTCGTATTTTCCCTAATAGCTTATAGGTATATCAATATGTTGGCATAATGGCATGTGAACATGTCAGTGTACTTGCCTTTTACAGTATTCGTATATTAGTACACTAGCATATTTAGTGATAATTAGTGTTGATGCCAGTGCCAATGTCGATGTCAGTTTTAATCAGTCTTAATGATGAATTTAACATCAGTGTAATATTCGCGGACGTGCTAGTATGCGTATCAATACTATAATTAGTTTTGATATATTAGTATACTGATAGATTATATAAACAGCTTAGTATACCAACACATTATAATGTATTCGAACAGTAATATGTTTGTATACCTGCATGTTTGTATGCTCTTAGTATATTAATGCATGCGTACGTTCGTGCATGAGTACATTAGTATATTGGTGTGCTATTATCTTCGATTATTAACATATTAGTGTATGAGTATCCTGGTATGCTACTTCATTTATCATATTCGTATATTATCTAACAACTTTTTTGGTATATCCATATGTTAGTATACCATTGCCATGTGTCAGTGTACTTGCATATTACAGTATTCGTGTCTTAGCAAGTTAGCATATCAATACAGTATAATCAGACGTTAACAAGTAGTATATTGTCACGTTGGAAACTGGGTATATGACAAATTAAATACGAATATACTACGTTAGTACACGAATGCATTGATATATTTGCTTTTCAGATAGTGGTATGTATATCTGCGGACATTAATATACGCAGGTGTCTGTTAGTATTGGCATTAATATCAATATGAATATGACTATTGGTAGGCGTAGGAGTATTAATGTTAATAATAGAATTAGTAATGTGCATATTCGAAATGAAAGCATTAATATACATGTCAACGTTAGTGTTAAAAGCACTACACAGTAATCTTACTTGAGTCATATATAGAGCAGATTCCAGCATTTCCAAAATTTCCAAAATTCTCTCCCCTAACTTTCCGGATTTCCAAAATTTCCAAAATTTCCAAAATTTCCAAAATTTCCAAAATTTCCAAAATTTCCAAAATTTCCAAACTTTCCAAAATTTCCAAAATTTCCAAAAAGTCCGCCCTTATGTTTTGGAAAAATCCTGTCGACTAGGTCGGGAAATTTTGGAAATTTTGGAAATTTTGGAAATTTTGGAAATTTTGGAAATTTTGGAAATTTTGGAAATCTGGAAAGTTAGGGGAGAGAATTTTGGAAATTTTGGAAATGCTGGAATCTGCTCTATATATGACTCAAGTAAGATTACTGTGTAGTGCTTACTATGTAGTGTGTCAGCACAACCCTCATCCATACACGTGTGCTCTGTAATTCCTTTCTTGGTAGGACACCCGCGCGCCTTATCGTGCTGCTTTCTGGTCTCAGTCTTTTGGTGGTTCCAGGGATACGTTCGGAGGGCTCAAACTCGATACTCCGGAAAAAGCACGAACACGCCGGTGGGAGCGATGTTTTAAAGGGGATGGTCTGTCATGGGGGGGGGGTGACCATATATATATATATATATGTATATATATATATACACATATATTGTAACTTATGTGTGTGTATATATATATAGACATATATACATGCATACATACAACACAAATACACATTAGAATGGGCCCCACCCCACCCCCATTCTGATTATCAAGTCCCTGACGCCAAACCCTTATGGTAACCCTTATTAGCAGCAAGGACAAGGAGCCGTGTCGAGGATTTTCATGGCTGCCTTCTGCTGTGCCTTCCACTTCTGGGCGACATGGCGCATCTGCACCCAAGTGAGAATGGAGACCAGGCCGATAGCCGGAGTAATCAATGCCTGGAGCTGCCTAAACCCTAAACCCTGCACCCTAAACTCTAAGCCCTACACCCTAAACTCTGAGCCCTACACCCTAAACTCTGAAACCTACACCCTCAACTCTAAACCCTACACCCTAAACTGTAAACCCTACACCCTCAACCCTAAACTCAGAAACCCTAAACCGACGATCTCGCGGGAGTAGTCAATGCCTGGAGCTGCCTAAACCCTAAACCCTGCACCCTAAACTCTAAGCCCTACACCCTAAACTCTGAGCCCTACACCCTAAACTCTGAAACCTACACCCTCAACTCTAAACCCTACACCCTAAACTCTAAACCTACACCCTCAACTCTAAACCCTACACCCTAAACTGTAAACCCTACACCCTCAACCCTAAACTCAGAACCCCTAAACCGACGATCTCGCGGGAGTAGTCAATGCCTGGAGCTTGGGACTCGAAGCTGCTTGACGTTTAGGACTCAGTAAGTAAGGATCCTTAAGGGGCTCCTTAAGGGGCTCCTTAAAGGGATCCTTAAGGGGATCCTTAAAGGGATCCTTAAAGGGATCCTCAAAGGGATCCTTAAGGGCTCCTTAAAGGGATCCTTAAAGGGCTCCTTAAAGGGGGTTGAGGGGCGTGGGCGCTTAGGGCTTCAGGTTCAGGGGTTTAGGGTTGAAGGAAATTTCCATAGTAAGGAAACCACGTTATTTACTATGAATCAGTGCGGCTGCTGAAAGCGCTCCTCGAAGGGAACCCAATAAGGGTCCTATCATGGAGGGTCATGGGGCTTCGTAAGTGTGCTTGTAAGATCTTGCAAGTACCTTAATTGGGATTATCAATAATCATTAACCAGCAAATGACCATAATTACAAAACTGGGTTGGCCTTTACACCCTGAAAAATATTTATATACAGCGTCCCGTATAAACCCAAATAAGGAGAAGAACAAATATCCCAAAACCCAGCGGCTTCGTAAGTATGCTTATAAAACCTTACAAGTAAGTGCCTTAAGGTTGAAAATAAGTATGAGTACAGGCAAACTGGAAGTAACCATAATTACAAAAGTACCATGATCCTTTAAGCGGAGGTTTTGGGGTTTTGGGGCATAGGGGGTTTGAGGTGATACGGCATTTAGGGCTTAGGGTTTTTGGGTTTAGGGTTGTGGGTTAGGGTTTAAGTTTAGGGGGTTTAGGTTTTTTTGGGTGACATGTTTGAGGGCTTTGAGGCACTTGCTTGTAAGACAGCCAATCGCCCATCCCAGCATATCCAGAACGGTTTAGGGTTTAGGGGTTTAGGGTTTGGGGACCCCATCATGAAGTACTATACATACCCGAAATACAATATGATAAGGCCCACCAAAAAGACAACTTTACAGGACCTATTAGCCCAGTGGCTGAAAGAAGGCCAGGCGTGGACATAGATACCAAGCCAAAACCTTCGAACATTTTGGCGCCTGCCTGCCAGCGGTTTGGCCCTATACGAACCATTGAAGAAATCCTCCTAATTCAAGGAACCCCTGTCTAGCATTACTAAACTATTACAAACCCTACACCCCACCCCTAAACCCCCAACCCCTAAACACTGTATCCCCTCAACCCTAAACCCTGAACCCCTAAACCACTTGCCCGCCGCTGAGCCGGTTCCATACTCATCCGAGAGCTCCAGATTCCTTTGCTTCTTCTGGTTTGGGTTCAATCTGATCGTATTTTACCATAAGGCTCCTGGACCCTCGTAGTGAAATCCTAAACCCTAGCCCCCAAAGGCCACACCCTCCCGCAGAAGGCCCATGACCCTCTGAGGAGCCCTAGGGTCTGGTTTTAAGACTTCCGGCAAGGCAGAAAGGACAGCTATGAGGACTCAAGGATGCTCATGTTCTATCGTTTTCAGGTTTCAGAATATGGGAGTTTCCGAAAATAGGGGTACCTTATATGGGGGTCCTTATAGTAAGGATCCTACTATTTAAGGTACTATATTGGGGTCCCCTATTTTCGGAAACTCCCAAAAGGGCTATCGCAGCAGTGCTTCTAGACTGCAAGAATAAGAAAGGAACTGTTAGGGTTCAGCAAAAGTAGTCTGAGGTTTCCATCGAGGCTTACATAGAGCTTATGGAGTTTCAAGGATTTGACGTTATGGGCTTTGAAGCTCAGGGGTTGAGGGCCTCGATGGCCACAGAGCTCAAGCACTTTGTCCCTCTGTACTTCTATAGGGAAGCAGAAGCAGCGGGAAGATGTATAAATGACTAATACGCGACACCCAGAATCATGCATGAAAGACGTTCAATGTAGTACGCCCGTGTAGGATTCCTCAAAGGAGCCCTTTAATTACCCCTAAACCCGAAACCCTAGACCCCAAAACCCTCAGCCCTAAAACCCACACCTTAACCCTTAAAGGTACTCTAAAGGAACGCTTTAAAGGAGGCCCGAAAAGGTACCCTTAATGGAGCCCTTACAAAGGAATCCTAGGTCCTAGTAGTGCTCAAGAGCCCAGGCTCAAGAGAAAGCCGAGGGAGATGGTGTAGAGAAGCGGCAGCCAAAAACGAGACCACTTGTCGACGGCCTTCGGGCCATTTCAGCCAACATCCCTAAGGGCCTAAACCCCAGACGCAAAGCCCCGAACCCTAAACCAAAAAATAAATACCCTAAACCCCAAACCCGACACATCCCCCAAGTAGCCCTAAAACCTTCAGACTCCCCAAACCCAAAACCACCCACAAAGCCACACAATAGCGGCCTTGGACCACTTCAGCCAGTACGTGTGGCAGCGCTTGGCGTGGCGGCTTTGGGAACTCATGTAATTTTCCGCTCCGAGCCTTTTCTTGGGGGGAATCTGATGGCACACTGAAGGGCTCCAGTAACGGTTCCTATGGAATTTAAGAGTTGAGGGTTTCGGGGCACCCTTTCAAAAACTTATGTATGCCTTTCTGATTCTAAGAGATCGTTGGAAAACAACCTTAAACCCAAAGGGTCCAAAGTACCTGTATAGTAGAATGTAGGGTTTCTATATTAGGAATTACTGTTATGCTTTGGGGAAGTATCTCCCATAACAATACCTAGGACCCTTTGGGAAACACTTTCCAAGTGCCCCCAAACAAGCTTGATCTCCTTGAAGGGAATCGTCCACATCAGCTCCACACAAATCCTGGGCTGCTCACCGCTCTATGCCTTCTATGGGACTTACATGGTTCCTTCAAGGATTCCTTAAGGGGTTCTGTTAGGGATGAGGGTTTAGGATGAAAGGATCATGGGGCTGAGTGCCCTAAGTGGGGCCATAAGTAAATATTGGTACAGTTACCTTAACAATAACTCTAGTTACTTACTAAGTCCCATGATCCTGTTCCAAAAACCGTAACCCCTCTGTATGTATGCCACTACAGTCAGAGTACCGCACCAAATGTTTATGTTGAGGCCCTTTTTTCCTTCCTGGACTACGTACGTACATAGAACAAACCAACTTGGAAACCTTACGAGAGAACAAAAGGTTTAATTAAGGTCATAACTCAGGCAACGCCAAATCCAGAATTGTTGACAGAAGCAGCTAATCCTACCCCCTTCCCCCAGGCGTCCAACACTCCTAGCATATCCCATAAAAGGAACCCCTTAGAGTCTTGGGGTACTTGAAGGGGCAGGGGACTTAGTAAGTGGTTGTAAGTACAGTTATAAGTACCCTAAATGGAGTTGCCCCAATTACAACCCTACTTATAAACGACTTACTAAGTCACCTGCCCCTCCAAGTAGACCCTAAGCCCTAAACCCCATAGATCCCTTTAAGGAGCCCTATAGATCCCTTTAGGCAACCCTCTAAACGACTTGCTAAGTCATCTGCCCCTCCAGGTATCCCTTAAACGGAGCCCCAAGACGAGTCCCAATTACGCCTCCAATTCGGCGGCCCTGGAGCCCCGAAGGGGGCCCAAGGGTTGATGAGACAAATCCCTAGGGTTCCTTTAAAGGGATCTATAGGGGTACCTTTAAGGGCTGCCTTTAAGAGATCTATAGGGTTTAGGGTTTAGGGTTGATGATATAAATCCTGCATTACCTTAAGGACCCTAAACTATGGGAATTATGGTATATTCCTTATTATGGGTAATGCAGGTTCTATATCATCAACAGAAGTACCCAATGTACCCCATACCCAGACCCCCGGGAGGATCCAACAAGTAGATCCCTTGATGGGGGGGGGGGGGTTCCTTTAGGGGTTCCTTTAAGGGTCCTTTTAAGGGATCTATAGGGTTTTGGGTTTTAGGGTTTGGGGTAGATCCCTTGATGGGAGTTCCTGTAAAGTACCCTTAGTAGTATAGGGCCCCAAATTAAAGGGATCTACTTTCCAGATCTCTTTCGGGGGTCTGGGCAATCATATACTTTCCGAATTCTAACCTACATAAACTACTGTCCTAAAGCCGAATACCTAATTAGTGGGTGCTTTGGAATTTTAGGGGAGGGGCAGGGGACTTAGTAAGTAGGTTATAAGTAGGGATATAATTGGGTAACTCCATTTAGGGTACTTATAACTCTACTTATAACCCACTTACTAAGTCCCCTGCCCCTCCAAGTATACTAGAAACTAGTAGGGACCAACTACTAGATGTTCAGACCTGCATGAAACCATAGACAACTGTATAACGTCCTGATAAAGCCGGGTATAACAGCAGTGGGCTGGTTACTCAGGTTGGTTTCTCAGACGTCTCTAAATCCCAAGCACAGAGCCATGACATCAACAGTACACCTGCGTAAAACCTTCTGAAAGCACCACGAATTCCTATGTTGCTGCAGACCTCCATACCCTCAACTCCTAAACTCTAAACCGCCCATGCAACCCTGAAAGGGAACCCTCACCCTCACTAATCCCGCTAAATCCCCAAACCCCTAACCCCGAAAAGCTCTAAGCCCTTATAGACCTAATTAGAACCCTTGCAGATTCCTTACAGGAGCTACAAGCGGTTTAAAAAACAACTTGCCGGGTGAAGGAGCACCCCAATCCCCACAGTCCGTAAGCCCGCACTAACCCCTAAACCCCAATCCCTATAGATCCCTTAAAGGAACCCCTGAAACCCTAAGCCACCTCCAAACAAACCCAAAGCCCTTTTAAAGTACCCTTTGAGCCCTTGTAGATCCCTTACAGGAGCCCCTTAAACCCTCAACCCCTGAAGCCCCAAAAGCTGAGGAACCCTAAACCCTAAGCCCTTAAAGGAACCCCAAACCCGTTAAAATAGCCCTACACCCCTTGTAGATTCCTTAAAGGAGCCCCGTAAACCCTAAATTCCGCAAAGGCCCCCTGAACCCTGACTCCCAAAACCCGTAACCCCCAAAAACCCTAAACCCCGTAAGGCCTGAACCCCGTAAAGGAACCCTAAACCCTAAACCCTTTGAGGAACCCTAAACCCAAAGCCCTTAAAGGATCCCTAAACCCTAGGCCCTAAACCCTTGAACGAGATCCCTTAAAGGAACCCTAAACCCTGAACCTAGGGCCCTTGTAGATCCCTTAAAGGAGCCCACAACCGAGGCCCAGGAACTCCAGGAAGTCGCCACAGTCGAAGAGCCGCTTGGGCTCCCAGGCTTCCATCAAGATGTCCTATCTTCAGTTGGGCTTCGTTGAATAGGGTTTAGGGTTTAGGGTTTTAGGGTTTAGGGTTTAGGGTTCCTATAAGAGGTTGGGGTTTAGGGATCCATTCAGGGTTCAGGGAATCAAGATGTCCTCTTCTCTTGGGGGGCTCCAGCTTTAATGGAGCGCTTTTTAGGGTCTGGTTTTAGGGTGTTCATCATGTTGTCCTCTTCTTTTAAGGGGCTCCTTTAAAGGAGCCTTTTAGGGATCCGTGAAGGATCTAGGGTTTAGGGATTTAGGGTGTTAATGGAAATATCCTCTCTTCTTTGGGAGCCTTCGAAAAAATGGCTCCAAGAAGTGTACCTGTATGGGTTTGGGGTTTAGGGTGTAGGGTTTAGGATGGTCTTGGGTTTAATCAAGATGTCCTCTGCTCTTTTGGGGTACCTTCTTTGAGCGGAGTTCCTTTTTGGGGGCGCCTATAAGGGCTCCACGTTTAGGGTATTCGGTTCAGGAATTAGGGTTTAGGGTTTAGGGTTTAGGGGTTTAGGGGTTTAGGGTTTAGGGATTAGGGTTTCGGGTCATAGGATGCTTTAGGCTATGATGATGTCCTCTTTTGTTGGGGGCTTCCTTTAAATGTTTATGTAGGGGCCTCCTCTGAGGGGTTCCTTGACGCGATTCTGGTAAGGGTTCCGGTTTTAGGGTTCAGGGGCTTCGGGTTTAGGGTGAGGGGTTCCTATAAGGGCTCCATCAAGGGCACCTAAGTCCTGCTTTAATGGAGCCCTTGTAGGGTTCGGAGTTGTGGTCATGATCCTCTATTCATAGGAGCCTCCTTCAAAGGGCCTCCTTTGAGGGTTTTTTGGAGGCTCCTTTAAGGGTTCCTTTCAGAAGGGTGCTGTAAGGGTTTAGGGTTTTGGTGCTTTAATCAAGATGTCCTCTTTTTAGGGGTTCCTTTAGGGGCTCCTTTAAGGAAGGATTCCTTAAAGGGTTCCTTTCCGAGCTCTTAGGGCTCCTTAAAGGGTACCGGCTCAAGGGCTTCAGGGTCGAGGGTTTCGGGTTTAGGGGCTGTCCTAGACCCTAAACCCTATACCCCTAAACCCCCAAACCCTAAACCAACCCCTGGGACCGAAATCCTCCAAGGCCGTCCGAGACAGGCTGAGGTTCACGAAGCTGAGCATGGTGGCGGCTTCCTGCGAAGTGGCTTAAGGTTTGGGGTTTAAGGTTTTGGATTTTGGGTTTTGGGGTGACGGTCAGGAGACCGTGCAAGCGGATTATAAGTAACCTCTAAAGGTACCTGAATTTGGGGTTCTTTTATGACCCGCTTATTTCCTACGTCATCCCGTGATCCACCAACCCTGAGCTAAATGCTAAGGCCCGTAAAAGACCTAAGAACCCTTATCGTAGTCGCAGCCCTTCAAGGACCCAATCCAAGGAATCCTAAAGCCCACACCCCAAAGGCTAAATCCTAAATCCGAAACCCTAAACCCTTACACCCTAAAGCCCAAACCCCTAAACCCTGAACCCCTAAACCCTAAATCCCTAAACCCTAAACCCTTAAACCCCAAACCCTTAAACCCCCTTTAAAGGCCCCCCACTTGCTAAGTCCCTGCCCCTTAAACCCCTGCACCCCCTAAACCTCTAAACCCCTTAACCCCTTTAAACACCCTCCACTTGCTAAGTCCCTGCCCCCCCAAGTGGGGGTTTCCGAAAACAGGGGACCCTAGTATAGTACCCTAAATAGAAGGATCCTTGTTATAAGGACCCCCAAAATAAGGTACCCCTAGTTTTTGAAAGCTCTAAACCTTAAACCCTTTATAGAACCTTCATAGATCCCTTTAAGGAACCCTTAAAGGATCCCAACATAAGGTACCCCTAATGTTTGGAAACCCGCAAGTCCTCTGTGGTGATCAACCCATTTGAGTCGGAGTCCAGCAAGTAGAAGAGGTTCCTTTGGTTTACCTACCCTAAGGCTCCTAATAGGCTTAGGGGCTTTGTGGGCGAGGGTTTGGGCTTTGGGGGCTAAGGTTTAGGATTTCACTACGAGGGTCTAGGAGCATTAGCCTACTTGGAGGATCATGGGACTTAGTAAGTATGGCTATTTGTACCTGTATTGGGGTTATAAGTATAATTACCCCAAGAATATCCCTAGTTACTAAGTCCCATACTCCTTTACGTAGGGATCTAAGGACTCATGCTTTAAGGCTTTTGGGCCCAAAGACCATACTATGTAGGGCTTTTGGGCTATGTTGATCCCCAGGGCTTTATAAGGTGGGCTATGAGCGCTCCTTCCAAGGGACTGGGAGGGCTCCTTCCAGGGATCGATGAGGCACCATACAGGGAACTCCAGAAAGTTGGAATATGGATTAATGGTAGGATCCCCTATAATTTACCTTAAAGGGGTTAGGATAATGATATTCCAACTTTCTGGCTTCTACTGTAAGGGTTTGAGGGTTGAATTTAGAAGCCTGAAAGTTGGAAACCCGATTGCCTCAATCCTTAAGAGTCAAGAACAAGGAATCCCAGCACTACTTGTCCTTAATCCGGTTTCCAACTTTAAAGGACGTAAGGTTACCTATACAGCTACTACGAAACTCTTTCCGTGAACACTAAGACCCTTAACCCTTAGACCCTAAACCCGAAGCCCTAACACCCCGAATCACAAATCCTGCTTTTGAGCCAAGCGTCTCAAAGAAGATTAGGCGTTCTGTGTCTGTCTCGGAGAACTGCCGCGCCAAGAGCTCCTATCAACTCTTTAAATTTCTGTGGGCTCTAAGGATTGGGGTTTAGGGTTTAGGGGTTTAGGGGTTTAGGGGGTTCAGGGGGAAGGTTCCAGGGTTTGGGGGACTGTCAATAAGAATAAGAACAACAGTATCAGCAGCAATAACAACAACGGTAACATTTCAGAAAATAAGACATTACGGGCCCCATATTTACAGCATTACTGTTTTTCATGTTTTTGGTTTGCTTCAGATTTGAAGCAACATCACTCGTGCACACGATATGGTTATCCTCATATGCATATTCTTAAATAGGATACATGTACGTATACCCATACATGTGCACAAACAACAATGGTTATCACATGTCCAAAGTTTTTGTTTCAACTGTCGACATGACTATAGAGCAAGAAGTTTGACTCACTTCTTGGCTGGTTCAGGCCCTAAGGGCGAGAACACTGCTACTAAGGGGATGGCGGGGGGGGGAGAGGGGGGGGGCAAAAAAAAACAAAATATGGAGGGGGGGGCAGCGCAAAAATAAAAAAAACATCGAAAATCAAAAACTCCCCCTCCCCGGGGACAGCAAGCGACAGCCAACGCCATAGTGCGCCATACTGCAGGAGCGGACACCAACCAAGAGCCACATGATTCAATAAACCTGGTGTCCTTAGCCCATGCAAGCCTCACTACAAGTGAGTAGATACTGTATGCCGAATATTAAGATCAATAAGATTACATACTAACCAGATAAACATCTATAGAATCTATAAAAGACCTCAGAGACTTACTGCGTATAGAAAATTAGATATCGGAGATTACAGCTCACAAAGATGACAAACTATTTATGACTGGCACAACATCATATGACGAGGAGACCTTGCATTAACATACATTCGACGGATGCGAACTCACGACACAACCACCTCCTGAGCAATGCCAGGTGGACAACCTGTTGAAGGGTCTGTCGTAGTCAAGCGATAACAACAATGTTTGACGTCGCATATGATGTGGTAGCATATGCGAGGACATATGGTCGGTATATATGTCGGATGTCAGATACATGTATGAGCAGTCTCCTCGATAACATATACAACAAACACTGTCTTCGCCTTTCATTGGCAGGTTGCGATGTAAGGGATCCGAATCCAACTATCTTATAGGTGCATGAAAACGGGAGTTTGAATATTCCACTTGTGCGATGTTCGAGCAACATGGTGGGCTCTGTCGGGGAGTTTACAACTGGAAATCCTTATTGGTTTATGTTCCTGTGATCAGGATCGGCTACTCGCAGGAATCTGAATATCATTATACCAAAACTGGCTAGATATGGAAACAATATATCTCATGAGCACGTCATGGTGAAGTATCAATCTTCACGTGAACCATGCGCATCATGATATGGCGTAACACACTCGTAAGCATGTAGCATGAGGTGCTAGGGAGATGCCATACGAGCTTGGCAAGCTCACGGGATGCACAAGGACATCTAAGTCAAATCTCATAGAGAAGATATGTGTCATGAGATGCTGCCTGCATCTTGCGACCTGTTCATACTTAGCTGTGACTGTTGTAACTTCATGCGAGATTGGGTTTATGTGTGAGAATAAGTCTCCGGGCTTTTAGAAAGGTCTACCGAGGGGTTTAACCAATATGTGGTGCAATCCCGCTTGCCCGCGCGGCCGGAAGGCGTAAAGAGGGAAGCCCGAACGATGCGGGCAGCTTATAAGGACACCTGCTGCGATGATCTATACGGATGGCTCAATATCATAATGATATGTTGAAGAGATTTCCTGGTGCTCTATGTTGATATGGCCATGTTCAACACATAACATGCCTTTTACATTGAAGGAATGCGGCGAATATCCTGTTCAACTGCCGGTTGGGTGCCTCATTATGACGGCTCCATTACTCTTGCCAAAACTGGCATGCAGCTGCCAATGTAATCTGCCATGTTTACTTCCACCACAAGAGATACTTGACTTCTTGATCATGTCACATATTAAAAAGTTGGTTTTAGGCATAGTCTAGTTCTTATACTATTTCTTGGGTAACAGGATTTAGTTTACGGAGATATCCATAAGACACACGATGAAGTGCGTCATGGGCTTTAACAAGACCATATTAGAATGGTTGCGGCATACAGGTGCATTGCCTGCAGCATAGATATAACAAGCGGTATTGTTTACAGCTGATGACAATCGTATGTTCGTGTCGGTGTATGTTTGTGTGTGCATGTGCAAATAATGTGTTTTGACGGCAGTCAACCTATGACTAGATGGTATGAGCAACAAGACAGCGAAAATGATTAATATTGCAGGTGGATCTCCATATGTCTGCATATACAATAATGATAGCAAAGCACCATCTCCTTGAAAAGTATATTAACTCAATTACATCCTTATCCTTTGGGGGCTTGTGGGCTTCAGCCGCAATGCTCACTAATCTGGATAAGCCAGCATTGTAGCTGTCAGGATGTATACAGCAACATCCATGCGATGACTGTCTTCGAAGGTCGTAGGTTTTCAGTTTTCTGGGTTGACTTCTGTGAGAAGCTACTGCAATTGAAATACACAATTCCGCACACACAGCTCCAAATACTGCACAAATTATTGGACTGGGAGCTCCGAAACAAGGACAACCAATGCAATAATAATCGCAAACAATAAATACGCCTTTGAAGGAGGTTGCACTGAACAAGCTCGCATTCATACGAAAAACGGTATCGAAACTGAATGTAGCAAAGACATCTATGCACATATATGTATATATGTACATATGCAAATGGATCCGGTAACACGATCGAGTTGATCGCCTGCATGCACTGTTTGAGCAACCTGCCTGTATGATGCCAAACTCAACTTATCATGCTACAGTATATGCTGGACGTCTATATCCAAAATCATATGTTACCATGCACATGATGGAGCCTGCAAAAACCGGTAGGATATGTAAGCGATTCTTTACGTTGATATGCAAAAGTTATATAGATTGACCGGTCTTGTACATCATTCAAGGGTGGAGAAATGCACGGTTTCTCCGACGCATTGTATCTCATTTATCTGCAAGATTATACTATGAGACACAAAGAACAACCACAAGATTAAAGTGGCATTGATTTATCGGATAGTCTTCATGAGACTCCACAATGAAAGGTAGTCACACGTGCATCCCATGCTGATTGGAAAAGTACTTCCCATATCAGGCATCAAGAGCAACAGGGTTAAGTAAGCTTGAAAACCACTAGTATGCAAATTATGACGATTGTAAGTTTTTGTAGTGAAAACTCTTAGAAAACAGCATTTTGACTGGAAAATATGGGGCCCGTAATGTCTTACACTCTCTAACATTTATATTCATAAAACAGTGCAGTATTGTTGGAGTAGTGGCAAGCTAATCTGCGAATAAGAAACAGTAGCATCAACACTCACATCAAGATTACACAATAGTGGTAAGAGCTAAAGAGCACAATCAAATGACGTTAGCTTAGCGGTGGCCAGCGAACACACATCATGACAATAGTAAGAAAGGTTCCCGCTTGTCCCGAACCTCAGACTGGGAAACTAAAGATTCTTTGGGAGTGCCCCGAAAGGCTAAGAGTTGCCTACCCTACTGCTGAGTGTTACTACAGAACGAGTACGGGGAGTCCTTGCTACCAGCCTTAAGCACCCAGTCTCGTCGGGGAGTACTTCTGGCCCTCGACTTCGGGCTTAGGGTTTGGGAGTTTAGGGCTGTTAGGAGTTTAGGGTTTCTGAGTTAAGGGTCTGGATTTAGATGGGTGTAGGAGTTCCGGGCTTTGGGGCTTGGTGTTTCGGGGTTTTGGAGTTTGGGGGCTTACGGCTGCGAAGGGCATCAGCTTGGAGCGGCATGGTGTTCTAAGGCTTGTCCTGGGTGAGGTTTAGGGTTAGGGTTTAAGGGTTCAGGGTGTATCTATGGTTTAATGAAGGCGTTAGGGCTTACTGGGTTTAGGGTTTACGGATGGAGGGATGCCTCTGAACCACAAAACACACATACACATGAGTCTGTAGAAAACCGTACAAGCCCCACATGGGAGTTTCCGAGAATTAGGGGTACCTTGATCCGGGGCCCTTAAAATAAGGATCCTGCTATTTTGGGTTCCACACTGGGATCCCCATATTTTCGGAAACTCCCATACGACAATTTCGAGCCCTTTCTGGCCATGGTTTAGCTGGGCTTATAAGGCAGAACAGACAACAGAGCTGGCCAGTGTTGTCTAGGGTTTGGGGTTTAGAGTTTAGAGTTTAGGGTTGAGGTTTAAGGTTTGGGGTTTAGAGTTTAGGGTTCGAGTTTAGGGCTTAGGGTTTAGAATTTGGGGTTGGGTTCTTGTTAAGGGATGAAGTTAAGTTGCCATAATCCAGAAGCCGTGTTATTTGCTAAAGACCCCTAGTATAGTAACTTAAACCTTACTTAAAGGAAACCGTATAGATCCCTTAAAGGAGCCCTTGTGTATGTGTGTGTGTGTGGTAACAAGAAATAAGAACCCAGCAATTCGGCAGTCGCAAGACTCACCCGTTCGTTTGCCTCCATCTTGGCACCCTTCTGGAAGTTGGCTTTATTCTCGTGGAGCCTGGTTTGGCTCAGGGTTTAGGGTTTAGGACGTGACACCCTAGGGTTTAGGGTTTGGGGTTTAGGGCGCAGCACCCTAGGGTTTGCAGCTTAGGGTTTGGGGGTTAGTGTTTAGGGAGGGTTCGGGCGGGAGGGGAGGCAGGTTGAACACTAGCACGTCCGTCTGGAGTTCGTATTGGCTTTCCAACAAAGATCTGCAAGCTCTGTCGAAGAACCCAGCCGACAAAGGCCTAAACCTATCAAACCCAATAGAACCGCTGAAGACTAGTCAAACCCTGAATCCAAAAGCCCCAAGCCCTTAAACCAGACACAAACCTCAAGGACCAAATGACCCTTAAAAGTAGGGGCCCTATACCCATATACTATGAATCCCTATATGGTCTATGAACCTTAAACCTTTTTAGGGTCCATTTCGTCCTTAAGGAAGAGACTCACAAGACAGCCAAGGCGCCTGTTGGAGTTTTCCCGATTGAGCTGGCGATAGATTCTGCCTGCCTTTGACTCTACCAGGATATCCGAGTCAGATCGGCACAGAAACCAAGGCGCCTCGGTTCTCATAGAGTTTACTGGGTTCGGGGCTCAAGTAAGGCCTGGGGTGATTTAAGACCCCTAGACCCTAAGCTGTGGGTTTAGGGCAGCCAGGACTCTTGAGCCAGCCAACAGAGGATTTTAGCAGACAAGCTGTCGCATTGCAGTCGGTGCGGCTGAAGTGATGCTGTTAGGAGTTGGTCTCGTGTTGAGACCCCATACCTCACAAAACCTTAACTACCTTCAACCCTCAACGCAGAACTTGCCCCAAGACAAGGCGCGATCCATGCAAGCCAACTTGGGAGGACGTGCTTCTCCACATGAAAGGCCAGGAATAAGATGGCCATGGTTTCCAGCAAGCTCGCGCAGCAAAACACCGTACCTCGCGGGTGGTTGTCAAAATCAGGGTCCCTTGTTGGGTCCCTATTATAATACGGCACCTATTATTTAGGGTACCCAAACAAGGACCTTGATTTTGACAACTACCCTCGTCGTTCCCGGAGGGTTTAGGGTGGGTTTGGGGCTTGTGCTCTGCAAACTTCGCGTGTTTAGGGGTTGGTCATCCCGTTCGCTTGGCTCTGGAACCTCAACCCAAAAACCGTAGAATCTCGAAGAACCTCCCAAAGGGTCCTATGTACCTAAATAGTTGAATGTAGGGTTTTTATATTAGGAACTACTATCATGGTCCAGGGAAGTGTCCCCTCATAACAGTAACCCTAAACCCTGAACCGTAAGCCCTAAACCCAAAACCCTCAACCCGAAGCCCTAAACCCTGAACCCAAACCTGCTTGGAGGGGCAGGGGACTTAGTAAGTAGGTTATAAGTAGGGCTGTAATTGGGTAACTCCATTTAGGGTACTTATAACTCTACTTGTAACCTACTTACTAAGCCCCCTGCCCCTCCAAGTAGACCCTAAACCCTAAACCCCATAGATCCCTTTAAGGAACCCTATAGATCCCTTTAAGGAGCCTTTTAAGAGCCCTTACTAAGTCTAGCTACTCACCAGCATGAAGAGGTCGATCCAAAGAAGCTCTCCGCAGACTGGCACGAAGGAGGCCGCCGTCGTTTTCATCACTTCGATAACCTAGGGTTTTGGGGTTTAGGGTTTTGGGGGTTTAGGGTTTAGGGTTTAGGGGTTTTGGGGTTTAGGGTTTAGGGTTTAGGGGTTTAGGGGTTTAGGGTTTAGGGTTTAGGGCTACTAGGATACCCAGTAACCTAAGAATAAAAAGGCCTCTCTTTTTTTGTATTGGGTAACTTAATAAGGAACCTAGGACCACAAAAAGGAATAAGGGTACTACTGGGCATCCTAGTAACCAAAACCAGCGTGATGCCGAAGGATAGCCGCTCCCCCACCTGTTATGCCGGCGGTTTAGGGGTTTACGGGTTTAGGGTTCGCTTGTCACGCCTCCATTCTGTGCTACTCTTTGGGGGCGGGTTTGTATATCTGAAGACAAAAGCAATGCTGATGTGCTGAGCTTTCGGACCTCGTGGGACATGAAGAACACGCCAAAGGAGAGGAAGGTAAGCAGAACGGTTGGTAGAATGATCAGCAATGTGTAGTAAAAAGACGCACGGCCAAGCCTCACCGTATACTTCACCAGTGTCCAAGGTTCGCTTGGAAATGTGTCGTAGAAGTTGGTTTTCAAGTCGACACTGACTTCAGCAATACTGTACTCCTGGTAAGAAGACCCGGCGGTATCCTGGGCGGCTCTTGGCTTGGCTGGGTTTGGGGTGTAGGGTTTGGGGGTTTAGGGTTTAGTGGTCTAGGGTTTAGGCTTTAGGGTTTCGGGGTTTAGGGCGCAGGGTCATATGTTTATCGCCTAACGTTCATTCCTGCTTAAGCCTACACAATACCTATGTAGACAATCAAACACCAGGCCCTTTCCGCGTAGCATGCTCAGAATATAGTCTGCTAAAGTCAGGCCTGATGTTCAAGAATAGTGTCTAAAAGCCTAGCACTCTAAATCCTAAGCCGAACATCCTTGCTTGAATATGTTCAACTATGCCAACACATGGCCTTCTGTCAGAATTAGGGTTCCTTTTTGGGTCCCTACGATACTACGGCACTGAATATTTAGGGTGCCCAAACAGGGATCCTAATTTTGACAACCACCCAAACGTCAAACCAGCCCTGAACCCGAAAATCTGATCCTGAACCCTAAGTTAAAACCCTTTAGGGTTTAGGGTTTAGGATTATCAGGTCTCAGGGTTTAGGGTTTAGGATTATCAGGGTTTAGGGTTTAGGGCTAATTGGGGTTTAGGGTTCATTGGGGTTTAGGGTTTAGGGTCCTGCAGTGACCCCTCAAGGCCCTGACCAGACTCAAAGGGGAGTTTCCGAGAATGAGGGGGTACCTTGTTTTGGGCTTCTTGCAATACGGATCCTACTATTTAGGGTCTATAACAGGGTCACCCACTTGTAAAAACTCCCAAATCCTAAACCCTAGACCCTGAACTCAAACCCTTAGCCTTAGTCCTTTTTCTGATCAGCAAGCCGAACAATTCAAATCCTAAACCCTGTAAGCCCTTGAAAAGAACGGCCAAGCCACAAACCCAAAGCTAAACCCTATAAACCCATATAAAATCTAAACAACAAACTCAAACGCCAAAGCCCAAATCCAAAAAAGAGCTTCTAAACCCTAAACCCCCCAAATCCTAAGCCCTAAACCTACCCTAAACCCCCAAACCCCTAAACCCTAAATACCAAACTCAAACCCTACACCCTAAACCCCCACAACACCCCGCCAAACCCCCAAACCCCTAAAAGCTACACCTACCCTAAACCCCCCGAACCCCTAGACCCTGAACCCTTTTCTGCCGAGCCAAGGGTCTTCTTGCGTGGATTCCGAATACCCAGCCCCTCGGAGGAGAATTCCCTGAAATCCGCCGGACCAACTCCAGCCACCCCACTCCTGAGGTTACCGGATCAAGAGGGATTCAGGGATTTAGGATTAAGGATTTAAGGGGTTTAGGGTTTAGGGATTTAGGGTCGAGGGCTTAGGGAGTTAGGGTCGAGAGTTTTGGGATTTAGGGTTGAAGGGTTTGGGATCTAGGGGTTAAGGAGGGTTTATGTTTAAGGAAACAGGGGGCTCAGGGAGTAGGGATTTAGGGCCAGGGATTTAAGGGTTTTTGGCTAGGATTAAGATTTTTCTCGTTGTGGGGTCTCTTTTTATTGGGTTTAGGGTTTAGGGGGCTTCGGGATTTAAGCGCTGCGGGGGTTCAGGGTTTCGTTCCTAAGCGCCCTTTAATCAGAAATAACGGTTCCTGTTCAAGCAATTCCTTGGAGTCGTGGATAGTGTTATAGAATAAAAAAATAGCTCCTAAGAGCGTTAGAGCCGCCAGAGGGGTCCCACAGCAACTTTCTCTTTTAACAAAGCCAGGGAAACTGCTGAGAACACAAGACTCATGGTGGGCTGTTTTTTTCACCTGCAAGTATCCACATTACTGAGCTTTGAGGCAAGCATTTTCATTATATCATATTGATTCCCTTTAAGTAACAAGTCCCAAGACAGTATGAAAGCATGATACTTCAAAGCCCGGTTTTGGAAACTTAAGCTAAACTCCTCAAAACGAACCCAGAGTCCATGGAACAGGAGAGGCTGTCGAAGGGAAAGGCAACCAGTCCGCTAAACTTGCAGAGCGTGTCCAGGATGCCAGGGCGGCTCCAAAAAATGGAACCTTAGTATTTGGGTTTAGGGTTTAGGGCCTTTCCCGCAGGCTCCAAAACCCCAAACAGGAAAGAAGGAACCCCGTATCAGGGCTGCATCTATTGTTCAACGGAGACCTGTACCCTAAAGAACCTACCGTTCTAGGGTTCCTTATTATGATTTCCTTCTACAAGCCCTCAAAATTAAAAAGAAAAAAGAAGTTCAGGGCCCAGGCATTCCTTGACTAAGGGGTTTCCCGCTTCCTTTACTTATGGGTCCTGTCAGGGAGCTAAAATTGCCTAAGGCCTACCCAGAGGCCCTATAGTAGTTCCTTTTTAGGGGTTCATATTTAGAATCCTATCAGGTAATCCCCAAAAGGAACTACTATGAACCCCTAAACCCCTAAACCCTCAAAGGAAACCTTACCCACCCAGATCAGGTCGGAAGATCCTCGTGGACTTCTGGGGCCTATGGGTAGGACTACTTAATGTTTCGGGGTCCTGAGGCCGAATCTCGGGCAGGTTCAGGGGTTTTGGGTTTCAACCTCTTTCTGGGTTTAGGCTTCATTTTTTTTAGGGCTCCTTTTTCGATCCCAGCGGGGTTTAGGGTTTAGGTTTATAGGGTTTAGGGGCGTGAAACTGCAAGAGTTGACGTACTTTTGGGCCGCAGGAGCCATCCGAATAAGCCGTGGCCAACGAGTTGTCGAGGGTCGCTGCATTGCCAACATTGGCATTGTAGAGCTGTACCTACAAGCCGCTTTAACCCCAAAGAAGCCAAAGACTAAACCCTCGATCCCCGACATCAACCCCTGACCTTCTGGAACCAAACGAGTAAGCTACTTGGAGGGCCAGGGGACTTAGTAACTAGATTTCAAAGTAGGGATATAGTTTAATTGGAGTAACTCCATTTAGGGTACTTATAACTCTACTTATAACCATACTTACTAAGTCCCCTGCCCCTCCAAGTAATCACTCAGTAACGAACACCCAGGTGCATCTGGTGTCCAGATTTCTGTCCCCTGTGTGGGCGGCAGACTGCGGAAATTGATCCTTAGCCGGTCTTAGAACCAAGATACTTGATTAATAATCATATTCTTATGAACCCCCTTGAGCCCCTTGAGTTAGATTACAAGAAAAATTACATTCGTATTAATCCCCTTAAGTTATATAATGGGAAAACATGAAACATAATTCCTAAGAGCAGTAAAGGATCTGCGTAATGTTCCCGTAGGCAGCCGGGTCCCAGCTGAGCCGCAAGTCATTCCAAGCCAGCCGCACCCAGACCTAGTCCATGGTTGGGATCGTGTTTGGAATTTACACTCATGTTCTTTGGGATCGTGTTTGGAATTTACACTCATGTTCTTTTTTGGGGTTAAGATTTAAGTAGAATTTACACTCATATTACTTTTTGGGGGTTTAGATTTAACTTTAAGTGGAACTTACACTCGTATTCATTGAAAAAAAGTTTGGGTTTAGATTTAAGTGGAATTTACACTCATACTCTTTTAAAACAACTTAGGTTTAGATTTAAGTGCCCGCAGAATGTCAAACCCTAAACCCTAAACCGTTGCCAAGCTGTGACAAAGAGACCTTCAGGCGCATCTGCCCCCGCGAGGAATCCACGCCCTCGACCTTGAACATACGAATCTCCTTGGCTGATCCTCCATAATAGACCCCGGATAGATCCATTTAAGGAACCCTAATATAGAACCCTAAAGTGCCCTTAAAAAGAACCCCTGAGCCTGCTCCGATTGCCTATACTTTACTTGGCTGACTTCTGGACCCCTCCGAAAAGTTATACTTTTAGCCTTCGTTTTACAATTCATACAGACACCAAAGAAGTTAAAGTCCTAAGAGCCAACCAGAAGAAAACCAAGACACCATAGCGACATCGGTCCCGGCTTTGCTGTAGTTCACGTCACGCCTGCTTCGCGGAGGCACGGCGGCGTCGTAGCGGCGGAGAAGATCTTCCCTCAGTGTCGTGGCATACTCTGCATACTCCTCACGAAAGGTACCATCCTCCTGACCAGAAGACAGCGTAAACAGAGTCGCAAGAGATGTCAGCAGAAGGCTGAAGTTCATGATTGACCAGACGACTTGTTAAAGTCCCATGGTGTCCACACCGAATGACCAGCTCGCAGCTTGCTCGAGCCCCACGTGCTGATGTGCAGGAACAACGAGATCAAAAACAAGGGTTTGGGATTTGGGGGTTTTGCGGTTTAGGGTATTTAGGTTCCCAGAGAGCCGAATATAGCTTAAATCATAATCTGAAGCCCTATATAATTTAAGCCATATTCCTTAATTACGGGGTATTGTGCTCTCTGGGTTGAGGGCTTAGGCAGCGCGTAGCTTTTAGCATCGACCACTGTACTGAGGAGGTGGTGTCGTCGCCGCTACCTTGCCTTCCCCTTATTGTTTGTCCTTGCCACAAACATGAACACCAGTGGTCATGCGTATATGTATACATGTCTATGTGTACGCATATGTGTGCGCACACATGTGACCAGCAAAACTGATGACGATGATGATGATGGCGACAATGATGATGGCTAATACTACTACTACTACTACTACTACTACTACTACTACTACTACTACTACGACTACTACTACTACTACTACTACTACTACTACTACTACTACTACTACGACGACAACGATGACGACGACGACTACTACTACTGCTGCTACTACTACTACTACTACTACTACTACTACTACTACTGCAGGTACGACTACGACTACGACTACTACGACGTCTACGACGACGACAACGGCGGCGACGACTTCGACGACGACTACTACTAAGTTACTACTACTACCGCGACCGGTGCTGCTACCTTTGCTGCTAGGCTAGTTGGACGACGACGACGACGACTACTACTACCATCACCACCACGGCGACGACAACTACTACTACAACCGCAACGACGGCGACTACTACCACTGAGGACGACGACGACAAACTCGCAATTACTTCCTCCGCTTCGACCCAAACTCTAACCGTCATGCGGAAGCCTATCAGAGCATGGCTCGGCTAAAGGAAGAACCAGAAAGAACACTCAACACTCCAGCTCCGCTGAATCCTAAAGCCGCTAAGGCCCAAACAAAACCTAATGCCCTAATGCCCTAATAATGCCCTGCAGATCCCTGAAGCATAAAACACACCTGACACCTACAACCCCTAAAATCTCACTGCAACCTACACAAGCCCCAGTTTAAAACCCTGAGCTCAAACTCTGAACCGATCCCGAAAGCCTTTGCCAGGCCGCCGAGTCGACCGTTGGTCCTTCCTGCGCCCACTGTTTAAGACCGTGGCGTTCTTCAAAATCTTATGCTGACTGTTGCTGCTGCTGCTGCTGCTGCCACTACTACTACTACTACTACTACTACTACTACTACTACTACTACTACTACTACTACTACTACTACTACTCCTACTCCTACTACTACTACTACTACTACTACGACCATTCATTCTTATTGCGAAAATACTTATTACTACCTAGTACTACTACTTACTGCTAGAAACCATGGGTTCCATCCGGCTTTCTAGAAGGGTTCGTTTAAGGATTCTTTGTCCTAGAGGCTCCATATATACAACCATTATGGAAGTAGGTCCCTAACACCATGTTAAGGATTGTCTTTGGGGGCCTAATTCCACTATGGTAGTATATATGGAGCCGTATAACTACCCTAAACCCTATAGACCCCCGTAAAGGAACCCTAAAACGAACCCCTAAAGGAGCCTCTGTGTGTGTGTGTAGCCCTAAACCCTAAACCCTACACCTTGTCGCTGCGAAGCGAAACCTCCTCCCAGCCCCAAACCCTGAACCTTGCTGTGAGGATCATGGTTTAAAAGTTCTTTTTACGGGCACTATAGGGTTCTATAACGGGGCTCCTTAAAGGGATCTAGAAGGGTTCTAGAATGGGAGGATCATGGGACTTAGTAACTATGGTTGTGAGTCCGTTAATAAAGGTATAGGTAATTATCTTGTGGTTACCCCAATAATAACCCTAGATACTAAGTCCCATGATCCTTTAAGTGACACTCCCCAAAGACCTGTATCCCTAAACACCCTAAACCCTTTAGATCCCTTTAAAGAACCATTTAAAGGTACCCTTAATAAAAGGACCATTAAAACCAACAAAACCCTACACCCAAAAGCCCTAAACCCAAAAAAACCTGAACTCGAAAACCCTTAACCTTCATCCCCAAAGCCCTATGAACCTAGATACCCAAAAGGTCACTGGGTTTACCTTATCCACCAAGAGCCTACCTTCTTATATAGGTTCATATAAGAATACGAGAATAAGGAATGCAAATGAGCTACATAGGTTCTGTTGCATTCAAGCACAGTCTAGGGTTCATGACGCCCTAACCCCTAAACCCAAAACCCTGAATATGAAACCCTAAACCCTACCCATAGGCTTCATAGTAGTTCCTTTTCAAGGTTCATGTTTAGAGCCAGAGCCCTATAAGTAATCCCAAAAAGGAACTGCTATGGAGCCGATGGGCAAACCCGAAACCCCAAGCCCTAGTACTGAGGAAACCCAGAGAGCCCAATACCCCTTATTTAAGGAATATGGCTTAAATGATTTAAGGCTTCGTATTATGAGTGAAGAGTTAAGCTATATTCCTTAACCAGGGGGTATTGGGATCTCTCGGACGGTATCGTCTCGGGGCTGGAGGTTCCGGTTTAGGGCTTTAAGGCCCGCTTTAGGGATTACGGGTTTCGGGGTTAAAGGTTTAGGAGAGTTTAGGGCGTAGGGGTTTAACGGTTTAGGGCTTTGGGGGCTTTAAGGGTGTTTTGGGATTTCAATGTAGATGCCTAATCAATAAGCCCCCTCTGAGTAAGGATGACAGTAACGATCCGAACAGTAAAGCCTCAACAGAACGGGGAGCTTGTCAATGAGGGGTCTACATTAGTATCCAGGCTTCAAGGTTTAGGATTTAGGGTTGAGGGCTTCAGGTTAGGATTGTAGAGTTTCGGACCCGTTTTCATCTTAGGGGTTGTTGAAGCCCATTCTACTATACTTCTAATAAGGGACCTCGAGAACACTATAGGTAATTATTTAGGCTTATATATTATACAGCCCTGCCAAGGTCCTGTGGCGGGTTGTTGGGCAGAAGAGTAGCTAGCCGGGTAAAAGCCTCAGCTGCTCAGCTGTGGGTTCAGCGTGTACCCTAAGGCTCCTAAGGGGGTTTGGGGCTTTGTGGGCGAGGGTTTGGGCTTTGGGGGCTAAGGTTTTGCACCTCACTACGAGGGTCCAGGAGCTTAGGGTAGGGCTTACGATGGCTTTAGGCTGGGATATAGGGCTTAGGGTTTAGAGCACACGGTGTGGGTTTCAGGGTGTAACTACTAGGAGGTAGCAATTAAGTATTCCTGCAATGATGAGTATTTCTAGCCAGGGTTTAAGGTGGTTTAAGTGAGGTGGCTACATGTTACTTTGTGTTTAAAGACTTACTCCCCGAAGAGGCCACTGAAACAAAAGGTTAAACTTTGCAGTTCCTACTAAGCTATAAGAACCCAAACAGTTTTCAAAGGCTGGGTATTGGGGAACTAAGTAGAGCAGCCCGGGTTGGAGGTTTAGCGGTTGTGGTTTAGTGTTTAGCCCTAAGCCCTAAACCGGCGACTTGGGTTTTCGGAACTGTTCGCGGTTTCGGGCCTTCAACTTGGAAGGGGCCGTCGGGCTATCATAGGGGCTTTTAGGGGGGTAGGGGGGAGGGGGAAAGGGGACTATACTTCCCTAAGAGGCCTTGAAAAGATTAAGGCCCCCTAGCCCGCTCCCCCCTACCCCCCTAAGGGTCCCTATGGAGCTAGGACCTTCAACTGAAAGGCTTGGGAGCTTGATCTGAACATAGTGCTTCGGGGTTCAAATACCATAAATGGATGAACTAATATCTGCCTGAAAAAGCAATATTGGTAGTTAATTCTGGCTTCTATGTGAAAACATCGGTGTTGAGAAGAGTGGGTGCATGGCTTCCACGCCTTGGGGTTTATAGCAACCTGCGCCGCAATGGGGCTGAGCAGGGTTCAGGGCTCAGGGGTAAGTTCGTTCACTCCAAACTTTCGCGAAGCCCTCTTTCAAGCATAAACCTTGACAATGACCCATGAGGCCCACGAGTAACATCAAGTTTTCCATGGGCGGTATAAGTCTGGAGGTGTAAAAGGCCTCTTCCTTCCCCAATAGGCCACAGAAATTAAAGGTTAAACTTTCCGGTTCCTACTAAACTATAAGAACCCAAAAAGTTAACCCTAAACCCTAAACTATAAGAACCCCAAAAGTTAACCCTAAACCCTAAACTATAAGAACCCAAAAAGTTAACCCTAAACCCTAAACTATAAGAACCCAAAAAGTTAATTAACCCTAAACCCTAAACTATAAGAGCCCAAAAAGTTAACCCTAAACCCTAAACTATAAGAACCCAAAAAGTTAACCCTAAACCCTAAACTATAAGAGCCCGAAAACTTCGAAGGTTGGGTATTTGGGGAACTAAAGATTTGAACACCAAAGCTGAACACCCGAAGCCCAAGATCCTAAACCCCCTAAGGCCTAACCCCAAGGGTCCAAAGGACCCAATAATAAGGTACTCGGTTTTAGGATAGTAGTTATGTAGGTTAGGATTTGGGAGAGTATATGATCATTAGGTACTTGGACCCTTGGGGTAAGGCCATAAGGGATCTATAAGGATACTATAGTACAGGGGGCCTAAATAAGTACCTATACTCTTTTGGGGGGTACCTTATTATAACTTTAGTATTTTGGGACCCGAAACCCTATGCCTAAGGCCCAAAAGCCTTAAATCTTAAACCCCTGTGCACCGGTTTAGGGTTTAGGGCTCAACGTACAATCCCTAAACCCTGAACATACGGTGAAAGGGAACAGAAGCACAAGCCTTTTGCATCAATATCTTACATTGTTGCGCTGACTTCAACTAGAAGTTACATGGGCCATCCCTGCCGCATCGTTGCTTCTGTAGTTTTGTGCGTCGTAAACATGATATATAAGCCCTTAAACCAAAACCGAAGGCCAAAACCCTAAAACTCTATTTAGAGGGGCAGGGGACTTAGTAAGTA